TGTATTATGCTAATTGGTCCCAAATGCCAATGTGATTATATGTTTTGATATGATTTTGTGTGCCATTATGCGAATATATATATATATATATATAAGATTTTGAAGTCTTATCTGTTCACCGTAGGAATACCTGTCTGAATAATCTGTTTTGGAAATTAAATTAAGGGCTTTATCGGCCACAGAACCTGAAATTGATTAAGCCATTGTGATTGGCATGATTTTTAGAGCCTACGGTGAAATTTAATTGAAAAATTGATTCGGGCCAGATTAAATCGATTAAATTGGTAGATTAGTGCCCAATTGCCTTATTATTATTATATTGACTTAGTGGGACTTGATGTATTTGAACACTACACCTCATTCCTCTCCTTTAGCTCATTTTGACTGATTCTTGGATTCAATTTGAGAAGGGAGAGCCGACTATAGAGAGGGAGAGAGAGGGATTGTGCAATTGTGGTCTTGAACTTGGAGGTTGGAAGTCTAATCCAAGATTTAATCATAGATTGTGAGAATCAAGCTCCTAGGTGAGTAATTCTTGGATTTTAGTTTGTAAATTTTGTGTGTTCAAGCTAATTGGGTGATCAAAAGTAAGATTGAAATGAAATTGGGTTGGTTTTGTTGGATTAAAGCTTGATATATGCATGCATGTGAGGAAATGTTTTGAAATAGCATGTATAAGCTTAAAATACATGATTCATGTAGAGTTTTGGTTGAAACTCATGTCTTGATCACCATTTGTGTTGTCTAAGTTGAGAATGTGGCAATCCATCACATGCATGTACAATTTGTGAAGATGTGAACTTGAATGTATAAATTTATTATGTTAGAATGAGTTTGATGGGAGATTGGGGCATGCATGTGAATTATTTGTGAATTGAGCTCCATTGGGTTGTGATTTGGGGTTTACATCCTGTTAGTATAATTATATTTGAGATTTGAGTCATTGCATGCAAGATATGTTGGTTGGAAACCGAATTTGAGCTCAAGAACACATTCTGGGTTTTCCAGAATTTTGAGGCCCGCTCGAGCGTAAATTTCGTGCTCCCAGCACTTTTTACAGAGTTGGTTGTTCGCTCGAGCGGAATATTTCACGCTCGAGCGGGGATCTTTTGTAGACGAGCCTTCCGCTCGAGCTCCCTAATTCGCGCTCAAGCGTAATTTTGAGGTAACCAGTACTTTTGCAGGCCTCTTGGGTCCGCTCGAGCGGGTAAGTCCACGCTCGAGCGGGGACCCTGTTTTCTGAAGTTTCGTTCATGCATTCTGTGTTCTGTTTTCCATTCTCTTTCACTTGTAAGCACTCTTAGGCATATGTTAAGCATTGCAAATGAGCAAATGAAATGTGAATTAAGCCTAAAGAGAGATATGTGAATTAAAGAACGGATTGAACTGTTAGTGACCTTTTGTACTCATGAAATGTGTAGGGTCAAGTTCCAGGGCAAATCCACAAGCCGATCACTGTGAGTAATATCAATATTTAAAAGCTTGTGAATGTCTACTTGTTATTCCCTTATAAGCCTTATGAATTTGCTAATTGGGATCATGGACAAAGGCTCTGATACGAATAAATGAATGGACCAGAGGTCGTTTTGATAGAGATGATGGGCCAAAGGCCGTTTTGATATAAATGAACGGGCCAAAGGCCGTTTTGACATGAATGAACGGGCCGAAGGCCGTTTTGACATGAATGAGTGGGCCGAAGGCCGTTTTGACACAGATGAATGGGCCAAAGGCCGTTTTGACATGAATGAATGGGCCGAAGGCCGTTTTGACAAGAATGAATGGGCCGAAGGCCGTTTTGACATAGATGGAAATCAGAATGGGCCAAAGGCCAATATGTTTAGAACTATAGTCACTCGATTTAAACTTTGTATAAATGTACATATGTTAAGTAGGAATATGAATTGGGCCCAAGGCCGTTTGGAGTATGTTGTTCTACATATTGCTTATATGACTTCTGTATTTGATATTATTCACTGGGCTATTGCTCACGCTCATTCATGTGTTTGTAGGTGAGCCAAGAGAAGTCCAAACCCAGCCCCGGTGAAGTCTGCTAGGAATAATCCAAGTTTTGAGGAAGTCAGCCTTACGTCTCACTCTTGAGACCCGTCATTGCCTTTTTGCTATGTAATTATATTTTGTCTTGTCGGGAAGGACTTTATGTATATCTATAAATAGCCTGTCATAGGTTGACTCGTTTTGGATGATCCTGTCTGTAATGAATTTTGTGAAACTGTACTTTTGATGTGGGTTATTAACGTAACTGAGTATGGTCTGTTTAATGTGCATATATGCACGGCTCTATGGACAAAGTTTTTAAATTTTTGCTTCCGTTTGGCCCCTTTACTCTGACAAGTCATCTTGTTTCGGTTTGAGACCGTAGGTAATCACAGGATTACTGGCCGGTCATGTCCTTAACCCATAGGGGCGGGTTCGGGATGTGACACTAAGGCATCAGATTGGGTTTGGGAGGTGTATGCTTTGGTCAGTGGCCTGCATATTGCTCTGGTTTTGCATTGGGGTGAGGTCTGGGATCTGAGTATGCACTGGACTCTGTTGGAAGCTGTGGGTTCTGTATGCACTGGACTGATGCAGAGGGAGTTTTGTGTGTTGGTTATGAGAATGGTCTACTGCTAGGCCAGCTGCTGTGATGGTGTATGTAGGTGGACTATTGCAGTATTGCAGTATTGCAGTGGGAGCCTGTCTGCAGAGGGGAGTTTGTCTTGGTGGATTGTTTTTGGTTTTTGCTATGTATTCTTGTGGTTGTTTTCTCTTCAACCTTGTGGTGTGCTGGCAAATGATTGGGCCATCCTCCCGGTGCCAACCTAGTTGGGATCGTGAGGTTTGCTTTGATGCCTTTTGCACTGCCTCTTCCTTTTTTGATGTAATTTCATTTTGACAATTTTCATCAATAAAGGGTTTTTTTTGCTGTTCAAAAAAAAAAAATAAAAAATATGAAGGGTTAAGAAGGCGCATTCTCAAGTATGTCAATATCTAAATCAATTAGTTTTAAGGTTAACTCAATATCTTTTAACTAATTTATAATCAAAACCTTAATGGAGTAAATTTGATTATCACAAAATATATCTCCCTTCATTACCTTCAATTCAATATAATATCAATCAATTATATATGGATAATAATAATCTCATCACCACAATCAATGTTCTCAAATTTTTTAAAATGTATCACTTCTAGACTGAATATATAGAAAGTACTTTAATATTTTAAAATTTCAATGATACATAGGCAATTCCTATAATTCCACAAAATTATGCTGCGAATAAACTTTAGTAATATTCTTTGATTTATCAGAATGTATCACTATACCTTTGGGCTGAATATATATGATACAATCAACATCTTTAAAGTTCAATATAATCTTAATTAATTATACATGGGCAATAATTATAATCTCACAACAATGGATTGCAAATAAACTTTAACAATATTGTTAGATGTTTCAGAATGTATTATCATATAAATACCTTTGGACTAAATATAAAAGACACATTCTAACACCTATAAGCAAGTCAACTAGTAAGAATGATTTATCAAAAACTATCTCCTTGGGGTAAATAAATTTTTCAAAATCAATAAAATTTCCCTTACTAGCGATTCACATTACCTCTAAAATTAACACACACAATTAACCCCCTTTAATAGGTAATTGAGTGATATAATATTAGAAGAGCTTTCCAGAATCCTTATTGGTAAATCACTTTAAATCTCAATAAATTCACATCTTCGGCAGTATCACTCACATTGATTCAAAAATCTTTTAAGTGGGACTATATCAAATAATAAATATTTGTTCATTTTTAAAACTTTATTTAACAAATATGAGATTACATATGATTGTCAAGTTTTGTTGTTGCATACTAGCAAATCACAACTTTAATTAGGCATTAATTGTCGTATAATGACAAATGAAAATTAACATAAAATTGAATTATTGCATTACATTGTCATGTAAATTAAAATATGATTATCCACAATTAAACAACCGTTTAATTCTATCAAGTAATAAACATATGTCCAATTAAATAAATATTATCCCATCAATTTGTTTAGACTTGTAAACAATATACACTGGGAAAATATGCACCACCCATATCAAAATTAAAAATAGAATAAGACCATTACAGAAAAAGCACAAAACACATAGCAACATCACTGGTTTACAGTCCAAACTTAGGACAAAACATAATTATAATATTATATAACATCACAACTTCTATCAAATATGAGCCAAATAGGGTCTTGTTCACGTCTAATTTTCATAAAATTCTGAGATTCGGATTTTATTTATTTTTATTTTTTATTTTAACGTTGTGATTCCGAAGTAATTCTCAACAATGAACAGTATGCATATGTAAGAATATTGAAAAGGTTTGGTCGCCCATTACCAGGAAAAACGTTTTAGTAACAAAAAAATTAATTTATTCCTTCTCATTGTATAATTTTTTTTTTTTTTACAGAAATAATCTGTCATGATTTTGATTTTAGTATAAACTTGTGCTGATACCATATGTAAGAATATAGGATCTATATATTAGAAATTAAAACATTATGAGTATAATTAACTATTAACTTAGATACATACCGTTTGATTTGGCCACTTTGTTGAGTTTTGCTTCCTTGAATTCACGTCGGAAAACCTTAGCACCAGCTTTTCCCCTCTTTCTCCTAATCTTTATATTTACTTTTCAATAGGACTGGCAACCCTTTAATCCACATATATATAGATATATGTAAATCCTAATAGGATAGGAGAGATGACTAAGCCTAAATAAAACAATTATTGGACTCTCCCATTAAGAAACCCAAATAACTTAAAATAGGCCTTACACCTCCATATCACATTTCAACATATAAAATGATAAACACACTAAGATGAGCCATGACTCAAAACTTTATGGATCACAATAATAATTTTGGACTTATATCACTTAATTTGTCTGAATCACTTTCAACTCTTTTTTCACGAACCAAACAAAATATAATCAATGACAGCCTAATTAACAACAAATTTTTACAATTTCAACTATTTCAAACTTATATTACAGATTCGATCACATCATCCGAGCCAGCGACTTCTCACCGGATGATAGAGAAGGGGTTCGAGCTCCAACCAAAAAAAAAAAAAAAACAAAAGAACGGACCGAAGGGTCTTCACACATAGATAATTATATTACATGCATAGAATTAACCACAAAACTAACCACACAATAGCACTCACAAGCCTATTGTTAGTTTTGTTGTTCATTCTCTTATCTCTAACATTTCTTCATCTTGAAACACCATAAATGAAAACCATAAGACCACAAAATAGAATTTCAAACCTGACGCAACACAACACAACACAACACAACACAAGTAATTTGATCATAAAGTGTTTCAGACTTTGAGTTCATCTTGTGAAGTAAGTTTTGGGTGAGAAGAGACGTCGAGGCGAAAACATCCCCATGTACCTTGGTGAAGCAAGCCCATCAATGGACCTATAATTGGGCATGATGAACCCTTCTCTGTCTTCATGGGGGAGAGGAGTGGAGGCACGGCGCCCGTTGAAGGTGCCATACTTGACCAACTTCCCAATCCATGACATCTTCTTGGGGGATTCCCTATGTGCTCCGGTCATCTTCTCACTCAAGTACTCCTTCACCGCGTGCAAGCCATGCTCAAACACTTCCATTGGTGGTGAAATTAGAGGGTTCCCTTCCACACTGAGCTTTTGGAGCTTCCTGAGGCAACCGAGGGAGTCGGGTAGTGTTGTGATTTTATTGTAGCTAATGTCCAATTCAACGAGGGACATGAGGAGACCGACCGAGTATGGGATGGTGGCCAGGTACTGGAAGTTTTGGCTGATGTTAAGAACTTGGAGGTTGACTAGGTTTTCCATGTCTTCAGGGAGTGCCCTGAGGCAATTGAGACGGGCGTCGAGTACGTGAAGGTTAGTGAGGTAGCTGATGGAGCGAGGGAGGAACATGAGCTTGTTTGAGTTCACTGACAGCTTCTTTAGGTTCACTAGCTCAAAACCTATGGTGTCTGGTAACTTTGCTAACTTGTTGAAGTTTGCGTTCAGATCTTCTAGTGACCTGTTATTGTTGTACAAGTCGGATCACAAATGGTAATTGAAAACAATCATTCAACTACTTATTATGACTTTTATTTTGGAGCAATGCTATACATCCTGCAATTTTATTTTTTTCTCCCAAACTTCCCTCAAAGATATGGCAAACAATGGCAAACAATACCAACCAATCAACTCCTTCAAATTGTTTACCACATCAGTACGGAGAAGTTTGGGGGATTGAGCATTTTTCTTTAGAGAAAAACTAAGGATCATGAAAAAACTTTCATGAAAATGATCATGAAAGAATTATGACTCTTGGATTACCTTGATTAGTGTGTGGTGTTCTATTTTAAGTGTAATCCAAGAGTCATAAATCTTTTATGATCATTTTCATGAAAGTTTTTTCATGATACCTAGTATTGCTCTTTTCTTTATTCCCAGACTTAATTATCCAGAAATTACTCAGAATTATCATTTTATGATTCAGATTTATTCTACATATAAACCTTACACTACACAAATTCAATCTCCATTACAAAACCATTCACCCAAAAAAATATGGGTGGATAAGTTTAGATTCCTAAACTCAGAATATCTCTTTTTTTTATATAATTTTCTAAATGTTTTTTAGGGGCATAAAATTTCATACAAACAAATGTATATACTTTTGAGAAATATGAGAACCAAATCAATAAGTAAATCTTCCTTCTCACATGTCACTTGCAAGTTGCATGTTACTATAGCCATAAATAGAGTCAAATTTTATAAATTCCTCAATTTAGTTAGATAGATAATACAAAAAGGTGCAAGAAAAAAAAAATAATAATATAATTTTTTCTAACAACTCAAAATTAGCTTTTTAGTTAAGCTAACAATTTCTTACAAAATATATAGGGAAATTTATTTTTTTTCCCCTCTAATCTTTTCTTTTTGTCCATGTTTCTCTCTATAACTCCCTATTATGTAGTGATTATATTTTTTTCTCATCATTCTCTGACAAAATTTTTCATCTAGTCAAATGCAAGCAAGAAAATAAATTTTCATTTATTTTTCTTTTTTACTTTCTATCATTTTCATTTTCTATCATACGTTTCCTTCTAAAGAAACAAAACCTTCAGAAATAAAATTTACCTAAAATTTTCACTCAAAATTCTTTTATGAACATGTAGTTCAAATTCATTATATACATATATATTACAATACACCAATTCAATCACAACTACACTCATTTTCAACTATAGTTTTTTTCATTAGATCAAACCTAACCAAATTCAAATACTCTCTCTCTCTCTCTCTCTCACACCGAAAGTTCAATTTTCTTTGAGATTTTCTCTGTACAAACACTGAAACATGGCCTAAAGAGATCACAAAACCCACCTAATCCGATTCAAATTCAGTTGGCCTAAAAGGTACAAAGCAATAAAAATAAGGGTAAGTTACACTAACTTTTTTGGTGATTTGGACAACAAAAATGATTCACCCAAAACATTTGAGTTTGTCCAAATCTTCCGAATTTGTGCATTCTGGTCGACCACTTGACAATCACTAGGACGACCGGTGCAACCGTTGTCTACTACATTTATCATCCTTGTCAACCGCGACTGTCACCCTTATTACCGAATGACCAACCGGACGACCAACATACACAAATACGAGTAATTCAGGCAAATCAAAATTCGGTGGATGGAACATTGCTCTTTGGATAAAATACATGAGAAATTCTATGGTTACACATCCCTTTTGGGGTGTTTACCATATGTACATTTGGTTACGATATTCGTGTCTTTCATTATGATTTATTGTATTGTTAGTTATGACACACAGTGATGTTAGTTATGTTCCATGAGTTGTTTAGTTATACTTTATGTAATATTTGGTTATAACTCAATTTTTTATTTTTTATTTTAATTATGACTTCCTATGGTATTAAGTTATGCCATTTGTGAGTTTGAATCAAACTCACAAATGACATAATAACTTGCATATGGTACACAATGCATTGAATTCACAAATTTGACATAGTAATTTGAATTATCTTAATATTTTAATTTACATAACACCTAACCTTCTTTTTCATCAATTATGTATTCATTAGTCAAATAGATGAAAAATAATATTTTTTCATTTCATTTAGGGCCTTCCTAACAAATACCCCTAAAGTACAAGTGAAAGACAAAATATTGTAACACAGTTTTCACTAACTTCATGATCAATGTATTTTTATTTAAATCAATACACTTTTTCATATTATTATATATTTTCAAAAGACTTTTTATATATTTCCCAACATTAAACAATGTTTATAGGGCACCTATTAGCATTTTTCTTTCATTTATGCTAAAATATATGTGTAGTATTATTTATTATTGTGTTTTTACACTATTTGTATTAGTTTCTATTACTTTAGTTTTATTAAGTAATTATATTAAATTTGTGAGACATAAATCTCTGATCGGTTAAGTTTTTAGAATTTAAGTTTTCATAAAAAAAAAATTAAATAAAAATAGAGGCTTCGTTTGGGAAGAATGCGTTGGGTGGGTTTGGGGCTATTTTAGCCACAAAAAGACAAAATAGGTATTTTAGTCCAATAAGACAAAATATCACATCTAATCCATAATTATTATATTCTTTTTCTCACAAAAAGTCAAAAAAGTCAAAAAAATCCTTCCCAAACGAGACGTTTTAGCCCCAGGCAAAAATAGCCAAAAAGTCAACCAACTTCCCAAACAAACCCTCCGCTAGTTTGAAAAACATACATACAAGAAAAGAAATAAAAGTTTTCAAAAAAAATAGAAACTAGTTTGAAAAGCATAAACACTAAAAAAAATTAATTTTGAACTTTCTGAAATCATTTCAACTCAAAAAGATAAAATAATGATTTTTTTTTTTTTTTTTTTTTTAAGTTTTCACCAAGTTAATTTTTTTTTTTTTTAAATTTTAAAACTAAGCCAAATTAAACCTTATTATATTTTTTTTAGGGAGAGGCTTCCTACTGTTGGGCTTGTGGAGCCCACCACGGGTTCCGTTTCGATAATTCGAACAGTTCAATGTGTAAAACTCGTCGAATACTTCACGCTTGCAAAAAATTGGATTTATCGGATTTTGGTAGCCCCTTGATCAGAACACATTTTTGTTAATAATTTGTTTTTAAAATCATATTTACCATTAATAAAAATGTGTTTCGATTAAGGAGCTATCAATATCCGATCAACATGACTTTTTTGTAAACACAAAATACTCGACGAATTTTACACATTAAATGATTCAAATTATTAAAATAGAACCCGTGATGAACTCCATAAACCCAATAACACGCTCCAATTCATTGTATAGACTAGAGAGAAACCGCTCCTTTTTTTAACACTTTAGAGATAGTCAATCTAATTTTTCCTAAAATTATTTAATCTGTGATACATTTATTGAAATAGATAATTTAATGCTGGTCGCATGTGACTGAATTTTCCACAATAAGGGACCGTGCTATAGTTTCGAAGTTTCAACTTCCAAGGTCACCCCCACATCCACACCCGGTAAGAAAATGTATGAAATTTTAAGTGTATGTTTGATTGGAGAATTTAATAAGAAAAATAGAAAGAAAAAAGGAAATGTAATTTTATTTTTTATTTGGTTATAATAGAAAATATAAGGCAAAAGAAAATAAGATGGAAATGCAATCACACTTTTTGTTTTTTGGGTTCACTTAATCTCTATTCTTTTTCCATTTCTTAACTCAACCAAATATAACTTGAAATTTTAATCTTATAAATTATTTTTCCTTCACTTTTCCCTTTTATTTCTTTCATCATATCATTTTTTAAGCTTGTCGTCTCAACTTGATAGAGCGTTTGGGATTGAACTCGGTAATCTGAAAAGTTCACTTACTAGTATTCATTGAGTAAAATATTCATGTAAAAAATTAAGATTGATTGAATATCGGTAGTTATTTGTTTCAATCATATTTATATTTCAAAAATAAATGGTTACTCTTGAAATTATAATTGTCGTCATTCAATTTTTTAAAATAAATGTAACTTAAACATATAGTTATTGATATTTAAGCATCTTAATTTTTTGAGTAAAGATTCTACTCAATGAGTCTTAAAAAGTGAATAATTCAGATCACCGATACCGACTCCAAAATAAACCCACCTAGTCTAAACGCTCTCTCAAGTTGATAACTTGATAACCAACCTGAGAGAATTCAAGCTCATCTCTAAAATAGTTCTTTCAATTGACTCACAGATAATAATGTCATATGACAAGTACCAATTTTTAACCTGTTACACACTCGATCATTTAATTCTTTTATCATATCATTATAAATAAATTTGTAGGTCTAAAATTGTGAGTTATTAACATTTCTTTATAACAACATATCAATGCTTTCATTTGTGGCAAGTCTTTTGATAGGGATTTTATGGCTAGTCCTATGTAATAGACTTAAATACTTATAGATCATGTATACCTTTTTTTAATGTACAAATAATTATTAAAATGCTTATTGTTCCATAATATTTTTTGCGGATAGCGATAGATGAAAAAATCAACAAGACTTAGAGATAAATAAGTTTGTTCAATAAAACCAGCCTATAAATCTCCTACAATAATGGTTGTGGGTTATTTTCATTTAGTATTAAAGGGAATAAAACATTTTTTTTTTTTTGTTGATATTTTGTTAAACCCATTAACAAACAAACTGTGACGGGGGACATCCATAATTTCTCAAATAAGGACGAAATCTTGTTTGGATTAAGAAATTTGTATAGAGGTTGATTGTGGACAGAGTATTATTTACACCAGTAGTTGAGTTGGTTTGTGACCTAGGAGCTTTTTTCACATTCTAACCATGAGGCGTACATGGATTTTGCAAATATAACATCCATAATTGTAAAACACATGAAAATTAATTTATTTACTTTCCTTTAGGTATATTGTTTTGAAATATAGTTTAATTAGGCATCGTTTGGCAACATCACTTTTCAGTCTAAAAATGAAAAAGTCACTAAAAAATCCAAAAGCCAACAACTTATACCAAATGTTATGTCTAGTATTATCATTATAAATCTAAATCTCTATTTGTTTGTTTGCTTTTGCTTTGGATTGTTAATCTAAATCTCAGTTTTAGTAAACGAATTTTACCAAATTATAACTAATATAAAGATTGAAGATTGTAATGGGCTTAGTAAGAACATCTATGACAATACACAAGTATTCTTTATATGACCTAGTCTATTTTCTTTCTTGCTTTCTTTCTTTTTGTTATATATATTTTCTTTTGCATTTATGTCAATCTCAAAAATCAAGATACCATTTTAATTATTTTATTAAAAAATGTAAGGACTAGAAATTACCGATGCATAAAAATTTTAAATTTAATCTCAAAGCTTCGTAAGCCGTAAAAATGGGAAAACAAACCTGCAGTTTTCAATAGTTTTTGGGAGTGATTCAAGAAGGTTGCCGGATACATTCAAAACCTTGAGCTTTGACAAACATCCTATTGAGTTTGGAAGAGATTTAAGCTGATTTGAGTGCACATCCAACACTATCAGATTAAGCAATCTTGCTGTCAGAGATTCTGGTATGCTCTGCAAAATTTCCACCCCACCCCCCAACCAAAATATGATTAGTACATACTACATTACCAAATACTGGTAGTACCACAAAAGAAAAATATTTGTAAGCTCAAAAATGAAAATATTTGTTCTTGTTTCATTTTAAAACCCAACACCCTTAAATTACCAGTAGGTCACATTTTTTAGGATTATTACCCATTAAGTCCTATTAACAAATTCATCAATTAATAAATTTATTAGTCAGGATTTGTAAGTAAATAAGCCTAATTAATAGGACTGATTGATAAGTAACTCATTTGTATATGACTTAAGTTTCTCATTCATAAGCTTTGAAATCGTATTACAAATTAACCTCTTTATTATATCCAACTATTAGGTTAGCTAACAGATTACGGCTATTAATTATCTTCATACCAATTTTACGCTCAACCCATCTTCTCTCTATTAGGGGTTGTGTGGTACAGTTTGAGGATAAAATTATAACCAAACCATGGATGATGAATTGACAAATTTGCTACCTGTAATCAAATCGCGACTTGGGTGGTTTCAACTTGTTTGTTGATTGGGTAATAATTTTAAACAATTATCAAGAATTAATAATATATAGTACTAATTTATATAATATTTTTCATAAATGTTTTTTTTTTAGGGTAAATATTTTGTATTGTAAATACTTTTTTTTAATGTGTGCTGTATTTACTACATTTGTGAGCTGTATTTTTTTAAATATATAATTTTTTTAATTTTAAATATATAATTTTTATTTTTTCATTTTAAATGTTTTATTTTATAATTGTTTTAATTTTTTTCAATATTTTAATATTTCATAAATTTTTTTGAATATTTTATTATTTATTTTTTAAGTATTCAATTTATTTTTTAAAATTTTTAAAAATTTTGGGTTGCCCATATATATCTAAATCATAACAAATTATTTGGTCAATACTTAAAAAATAACAAAATATATTTTTCAAAAAAATAAAAAATATTTTTCTTTAAAAATAAAATATATATATTTTCTGAAAAAATATTATTTCAAAAGAATAAAAAATAAAAAATAATTTTAAATATTAAAATAAAAAATTAATTTCTTATAAATTTTCTTTTTTGGTTCTAAAAATAGATTTTTGAAAAATAAAATTTGAATTTTGTGTTTTGAAAAAAATTTTGAATTGAGTTTTGAAAAGAGTTTAAATATTTTTAGTAACTTTTCGGTTTTTTAACTATTATTGGTAGTTTCCAAACTTACCCTTAGTTGACCTAAAAATAGAATAAATAAAAATAATTTCACCAAAGATTAATATATATATATATATATATATATGTTTGACTTTTTATTTAGGATTTTTGGTTTAAGATCACTAGTAATATATATTTTTTTTTAAACAACACAATTTTGTATATTAGTTTAGGTCCTCAAATACATGGTGACAAATTTCTATAACTTTTTAAATTCATTTGAAAATTTCAAAATTCTATAACTTTTGATCTAGATATTTGTTTCTTATAAAATTTTTATTTTTTTGAATCGTTTTATCAAAATCTGTAAAACAATATCCATGATGAATACGAAATTCAAAAAAGAAAAAAAAATTGACGAAATTTCACTGACCTAAGATAAGTTAGTGAAATTTCGATAACCAAATCAGTGACTAACCCAGGTTAATGAAATTTCGATGACCAAGTCAATGAAATTTTGGTGACCTACGTTAGTTAATGAAATTTCGATGACTACGTTAGTCAATTAGTGAAATTTTATTAATTTTTTTCTTCAAAATTTCATATTATGTGTTTGAAAGATCTTGTCAATGAGATTATGAAAATATAAATTTTATAAAACACGTAAATAAAAAAATTATTAAGCTTTGAAGTTTTAAAACCATTTAGACGATGTAAAAGGTGGGATAAGCGACCTGAGCTACTAAAATGAGAAATCTTAACTAGAAAAGAAAATCAGCTTAGACCTCTCTTACAACCCAAGCTTTATAGAGGATGTATTGCTAATTTTTCATTTTTATTTTCGTTTTTTAGCAACTTGTACTGAATTTTTAAATTTACTTTATTTTTTTACTTTTTATATCATTCTTGATTAACCGACGAGAAAAATAAAATTTTTCAGACAGATTAGGAAAACAAACAAATCACTAAAAGCAAAGAATTCGAAACAAATGTTAACTATTCCGAAATTCACAATAACCCCCCTTCACTTTCGGAAGAATAAAAGGAAAAGAAATCCCACCACTCAAGTAAAAGATGAGCAAAAGTGGATGTTTGGCAATAATTTTTTTTTTTTAATTTTATTTACTTTTAGTATATCTTTAAATAAAAATAAATAAATAAATAAACTTCTAGTTCCTTATCTAAAAATTAAACAACATACCATTTTTTTTTTTTTTTTGAAAAAAGGTCACCAAAAAATAAAAATAACAACCCCAAAAACCTCAAAATGAACTTAATTTTGTTTTTTTTTGGGGTTCTAACAATAAAATAAAAAAATAATTTGTCAAACCCGCCACTAAATTAGCATGAGTTTCTGAATATATATATATATATATATATAAGCAATTCTTTTAAAGTTGTTAAGTAATAATAACAAGGAATAATTACAAAGAAAATCCCATAACTTGACTCATGTAATAAAACAAATTTAATTTTTTTTATCAATTTAAATCACAATCGTTTGATTTGTTTAAATCTAAACATTCTGTCTATTTTGCCAAGTAAAATCAATGTAAAAAAAAATATTTTGGCTATTGAACTAAATGGAAATGATATTTTGAACCTTTTATGTAGGTCTATATTGAATTTAATGGTTAAAATACTATTTTTCTATCAGTTTTATTGAACGAAAATAGACATATGGTTTAGATTATAAAAAAAAATTAAATTTAAATTGACAAAATTAAAACTTAAGATTTATTTTGTTACAAGGACTAACGGGTGGTTTGAAATGATTTAAATAAGTATATTTTTTGACTTTTTATGAAATATAGGTTGGGTATGGATTGGGTTTGAAGTGACTTTATGAAATATAGGTTGGGTATGGATTGGGTTTGAAGTGATATGTTAGAGAGGTGATGTGACTTAAATAAGATGATATGACTTAAATAAGATAGTGATTTTTTGACTTTTTTAGATCATGCCAAACAAGGCATAAATCTTTATTTATTTATTTATTTGTCTTTGTAATTACCCATAACAACAATAATTAACAAAAATCTCAATTATTAATTATTAATGAGTGAGTAAAAGATATATACCTGAAGATTGTTATTGGAGATGTCAAGTTTGCAGATGGTACCAATATTGAGAGAAGGGTTGGGAAGAGAGTCCAAATCCATCCCACTTAAATCCACAATATCAAGCCTGTCTTCCTCCTCCTCTGGTATCCCAATTCCTGTTCCTATTCCTTTCCTCTCCTCCGGTGACCTCACTTTCACTTCCATCCTCTTTTTCTCCTGCTGCACCAAATTATGCTGTGGCTGTGGATAGATCATGTTTAGATACAAAACCCAAAAGATGAGAAACAGAGAGAGAGAGATAGGGACACAAACAAGAATATATATATATATATATATAGAGAGAGAGAGAGAGAGAGAGAGTATTTTTTTACCTTAAGACTTGATGATAATGTTTGTGGCGTTGTGTTTGTGTTGGACCCAAAAATTTTTTGACCTTAAGACTTGATGATAATGTGTGTGGCGCTGTGTTTGTGTTGATGTGACCCATGATATATGCTAGCTAGAGACTAGAGAGAGGGAGAAAGACAGAGAGAGAGGAGGTTGGGATTGACGTACGGAGGGTTATTAGAGAGGACACGTAGGCATGACGAAAGTGGGAAGTACAAAGCCGTATTCAAAGGGGGTTACGTTACCAACTGTCCTCCTCCTCACCCATCCACCCACCTCCCTCCCTAAGTCAACTCTCATTTCCCCATTGTTTTTCAGGTTTTTTTGCCTGCCAGCCATGCCCACGCCCGCCCGCCCGCCAGCCCGCCAATCACGCCCACCTATTCATTATTTTATTTTATTTTTCAACAATGATAGAGACTACTAATTTTGGAGCTCTAAAAAGACCACTAATGACATAGCACTCAATAAAAAAAGAAAAAAATAATAATATCAAGACCAAAATATCAAATCATTCATGGTGAAACCCACTGCCACATCATTAATGATAACACTAATTAGTGCTCCCACTCATTTTCCTTTATTTTTTTAAGTAAAATACTCTTTATACCTTTATGTTGGAGCGTTATTTCATTTTTGCCTTTAAATTATATATTTTTCCACTTTGGTATTTGGTGTAATGAACCAGGAAAGTTAATTGAAAATATTTTACATGATAAACAGAAAATAAGCATATATGGATAAAAAAAAAAAAATTTCTTTTTAAAAGGAGAAATACATTTTTTATGTCACCACACTATTACTATCATTCTCACCTCTATCACTACACTCCCATCACCACGGGCATTGCCATCATCATCACCGCTATTACCATCACTGCCACCCCACCACCATGCCACAACGTCCACTTTTATTTCACCACCACCACTAAATATAAAAAATAAAAATAAAAATTTATTCCTATAACTAACTTCTATTCAAAATTTACTCAGTTAACTGCTAAACTATATAAAAAATATATTATTATATTGAAGTTTAGATTTGTATTAGAGGTGTGAGTTAAAATAATAAAATATTTTTATACCACATGTTTGTCAGTATGTCATTTTCTATCTAATTTGAAGACATAAACTATTTTTTAGAATAAATTGAAAAAAACTTAAAATATTAAATACCAAAATGAGAACATATGAGAAAATAGCGGAACTTAAAAGGTGCAAAGTGTAATTAACTCTTAGTTTTTAGACTATAAAATAACTATGTGTAATAATTCAATAGGATTGGATTGTCTCCAGTGGGGCAGCCTATCTAGACCGTTCAATCCGATCCATTTAGGGCCCACTTTGGATCCGTCTCGATAATTCAAATCGTTGAATATGTAAAAAACGTCGAGTGCTTCATTCTTAAAAAAAATCACATTGATCGGATATCGATAGCCACTTGATCAATTCACATTTTTGTCAACAACTTTTTAAAAAATCATATTTACCATTGACAGAAATGTGTATTGATCAAATGACTATCAATATCCGATTAACATGATTGTTTGTAGGAATGAAATATTCGATGAGTTTTATACATTGAACGGTTCAGATTATCAATTTAGGATCCGTGATGGGCCCACGAAGATTCAACAATATGATCTAATTCAATTAGAACTGAAAACAAACCTATGCCTAATTCAATAATGGTGGTTTGCCGTTTGGGAATTTTAGTTGTATACAAAAAGTTATTTAGAGAACCTTTGACAATATATTAATTTAATTAAAATTTTTTAAAAATATATATTAAAAAATTAAAAAAATCATGTAAAAATGTAAATTTCTTTTTTATTCTTTTTAATTTTTGCATAAAAGTCAAAAAATTATTAACAAATATTTTAATTTTTTCATTTTATATTTTAATTAAAAAATTAAAAAATTACTAAAAGAACTATTTCTCAAATGAAATTTTCAGTGCTTACAAGCTTTAATTAACATATTTTTTTACATACTAAAAACTTACAATTTTTCTTTTTTGTAAATAATTTATCTTTTATGTTGAAATGTTATTTCGCTTTATTATTTTATACTATATTGGGCATATTTAATACTGCTTATAAACTATCTTTATGATTATAATTTGTTTAGATTATTAATTAGAAATAAATGGTATATCTATTTAGTACAACTTTTGATAATTGTAAAAATAGTTGAACTTGTTTGGTCAAAAAAACATCTCACACAAGTTTTCTTTGGCTTCATTTGATTAGAAATAAATGAATGATGGAAAGTAAAAATGGTAGAAAGTAAAGTAAAAGAAAAGAAAAATAAAATAAAATATATTTTCTCATACGAATTTGATTAGGATGAAAATTTTGCAATAAAATAGGAATTTTAATTATAAGTAACTAGTTTTACAATAAATTTAAATTTTATTGTATTTTGTTATATTTTTTGCAAGAAGCTGAAAGTTTAGTTACCATACTATTATTAATTGAATAAGAAAATTATCTTTCTTATAATTTCCATCACTTTCATGCTAAACAAACTTACATTTTTATTTTATTTTATTTTCACTTTTTATCATTTTCATCCTAACCAAAATGAGCCTTTGGTTTTGTTTGTTTTTTGTTTTTGTTTTGTTTTTTTTTTGTTGGGTGCAAATATCTAGAATAGCCTCAAACTTTATAAGACAAAAGATATGAGCCTCTACTGTCAATACATACTCAGGGATTTCAAAGAAAAAATAAAAAACAAAATAAAAAACAAAAAATCACTAATTACACAAAAATATATATTAATTTTCCAGCTACATAAGTTAAAAATGTCGAGTAAATTATATTTAAAATTGCGATCAAACACCAATAATCACCTATTTTACACAAATAAGTTAACTTGTTATTATAAATACTAATAAATAGCAACGTCGTTGCATTCTCTCAACTTGTCAACTTGAGGGAGTGTTTAGACTTGATAGACTCATATTGAGACCGATTTCAGTAATCTGAACCGTTCACTTTTTAGAATTCACTTTTTACCAACTTCCCAAATCATTTGTCTAAAAAAGCCAAAAGCTTGGTTAAAAGTCAAAAAATCACTTTTTACCATCTTCCCAAAACAACCCTTTATACCTTTATGTTGGAGCGTTATTTCATTTTTGCCTTTAAAATATATATTTTTCTACTTTGGTATTTGGTGTAATGAACCAGGAAAGTTAATAGAAAATATTTTACGTGATAAATAGAAAATAAACATATATGGATAAAAAAAAAAATTTCTTTTTTTAAAGGAGAAACATATTTTCTATGTCACCACACTATTACTACCATTCTCACCTCCATCACCACACTCCCATCACCACGGGCATTCCCATCATCATCACCGCTATTACCATCACTGCCACCCCACCACCATGCCACCACGTCCACTTTTATTTCACTACCACCACCAAATATAAAAAATAAAAATAAAAATTTACTCCTAAAGCTAATTTTTATTCAAAATTTACTCAGTTAACTACTAAATTATATAAAAAATATATTATTATATTGAAGTTTAGATTTGTATTAGAGGTGTGAGTTAAAATAATAAAATATTTTTATACCACATGTTTGTCAGTATGTCATTTTCTATCTAATTTTAAAACATAAACTATTTTTTAAAATAAATTGAAAAAAAACTTAAAATATTAAATACCAAAATGAGAACATATGAGAAAATAGCAGAACTTAAAAGGGGCAAAGTGTAATTAACTCTTTATTTTTAGACTATAAAACAACTATGTGTAATAATTCAATAGGATTGGATTGTCTCCAGTTGGGCAGCCTATCTAGACCGTTCAATCCGATTCATTTAGGGCCCACTTTGGATCCGTCTCGATAATTCAAACCGTCAATATGTAAAAATCGTCGAGTATTTCATTCTTAAAAAAAATCACATTGATCGGATATCGATAGCCACTTGATCAATTCACATTTTTGTCAACAATTTTTTAAAAAATCATATTTACCATTGACAGAAATGTGTATTGATCAAATGACTATCAATATCTGATTAACATGATTGTTTGTAAGAATGAAATATTCGATGAGTTTTATACATTAACGGTTCAGATTATCGATTTAGGATTCGTGATAGGCCCACGAAGATTCAACAATATGATCTAATTCAATTAGAACTGAAAACAAACCTAAGCCTAATTCAATAATGGTGGTTTGCCGTTTGGGAATTTTAGTTGTATACAAAAAGTTATTTAGAGAACCTTTGACAATATATTAATTTAATTAAAATTTTTTAAAAATATATATTAAAAAATTAAAAAAATCATGTAAAAATGTAAATTTCTTTTTTATTCTTTTTAATTTTTGCATAAAAGTCAAAAAATTATTAACAAATATTTTAATTTTTTCATTTTATATTTTAATTAAAAAATTAAAAAATTAAAAAATTACTAAAAGAACTATTTCTCAAACGAAATTTTCAGTGGTTACAAGCTTTAACATATTTTTTTACATACTAAAAAGTTACAATTTTTCTTTTTTGTAAATAATTTTTCTTTTATGTTGAAATGTTATTTCGCTTTATTATTTTATACTATATTGGGCATATTTAATACTGCTTATAAACTATCTTTATGATTATAATTTGTTTAGATTATTAATTAGAAACAAATGGTGTATCTATTTAGTACAACTTTTGATAATTGTAAAAATAGTTGAACTTGATTGGTCAAAAAAACATCTCACACAAGTTTTCTTTGGCTTCATTTGATTAGAAATAAATGAATGATGGAAAGTAAAAATGGTAGAAAGTAAAGTAAAAGAAAAGAAAAATAAAATAAAATATATTTTCTCATACGAATTTGATTAGGATGAAAATTTTGCAATAAAATAGGAATTTTAATTATAAGTAACTAGTTTTACAATAAATTTAAATTTTATTGTATTTTGTTATATTTTTTGCAAGAAGCTGAAAGTTTAGTTACCATACTATTATTAATTGAATAAGAAAATTATCTTTCTTATAATTTCCATCACTTTCATGCTAAACAAACTTACATTTTTATTTTATTTTATTTTCACTTTTTATCATTTTCATCCTAACCAAAATGAGCCTTTGGTTTTGTTTGTTTTTTGTTTTTGTTTTGTTTTTTTTTTGTTGGGTGCAAATATCTAGAATAGCCTCAAACTTTATAAGACAAAAGATATGAGCCTCTACTGTCAATACATACTCAGGGATTTCAAAGAAAAAATAAAAAACAAAATAAAAAACAAAAAATCACTAATTACACAAAAATATATATTAATTTTCCAGCTACATAAGTTAAAAATGTCGAGTAAATTATATTTAAAATTGCGATCAAACACCAATAATCACCTATTTTACACAAATAAGTTAACTTGTTATTATAAATACTAATAAATAGCAACGTCGTTGCATTCTCTCAACTTGTCAACTTGAGGGAGTGTTTAGACTTGATAGACTCATATTGAGACCGATTTCAGTAATCTGAACCGTTCACTTTTTAGAATTCGTTGATTAAAATATTCGTGCGAAAAATAAGATTATTGGACATTGGTAACTATGTGTTTGAATTATAATTGTTTTTAAAAAATAGAAGATAAATATAATTTCAAAAATAATAATCTATTTTTTGTAATATAAATTTTATTCAAACATATAGCTACCGATATCTGATTATTTTGATTTTTTGCATGAATTTCAACTTAATGAGTTCTACAAAGTGAACGGCTAGGATCTCTAAAATCGGTTTCAAAATGAATCTACTAAACTTAAACGCTCTCTCAAGTTGAGATAACCAGCATAAGAGAAACCAAACCATTAGTGGATTTAGTTAGTTTAATGAGTCTTATCATTTGTAATTTTGTAATTTAAAAATGAAAAAATTTATAATATACACATCTTTTTAGGGTGTGTACCATATGCTCAGTTATAACTTTTTTGATTTTTAATTATAACTTATTGTGATTTTGGTTATTATTCAGTTATGGCTTGCTGTGATGTTTGTTATAACTTAGTTATAACCTATCATAGTTGTTATTTTGGTTATGACGAAAGAGGCCTTTTATTATGTCTTAAATAGTGTTTGGTTATGACCCTTAATTATGAACCTTGATTATAAATTATTAAGATTATTATTAGGGAAAATAACCGATAAGTTCTACTAATCCTTTTTTTTAAAAAAAAAAACTATAAAAAAAAAGAAAGAAAAGAAAAAAAACACAAAGACGTTACAAATTTTATTTTAGGACAATTCAGTCATAATTTAAATAAATTGTTTCAAAATAATTCAAAATCGAATAATTCTTTTTTCACACACTAAATCCCCTAAAGACATACATTTAGGCCAAGTTTGGCATCCTTAAAATAATCCATATTTTTATCTTTTTTCCATCAAATCACCTCTCTACTTTTATGTACATCTTTTTGTAAAAAGACAAAAAGTACACTTATTTAACTCATCCCAAACAACCCCTTAATGAATACTCTCTCAGTATGCACATAGAAAACAAAAAATATTCTTAGTACACATCTCTTTCTTTCAATAATACCCTCATCTTATATTTTTAAAACCTTAAATTGTTTTTCATCCACCCACTCTTTCTCTACCAAAAAATTTGCAATGTCATTGCAAATTACAACCAGTCTCTGCCCTTTACGGGCACCGCCCTCCACGTCCTGCTCCAGCTTAGATCTCCATAATATACTCTTGTTGCCCACTATTCTTTCAAGACCCTAACTTTTGCGACCCTCTCTATCGCTAGCCTGACTTTTACAAATCTTTCTATCATCGTAAACCCGACACATCAAACTCTAGACTCATTTGAAAGTTGATATCCAATCAAACCCTATGGGTTCAAATGTGTATTGAGAAATAAAAAAATAAATAAAAAAAGAAGAAGCTTTGTCCAATATGTAATTTAATTAAAGAGATAATTACATTCTATTCCCCCGTAGTTTCACGCGTTTTCACATTACTTTCCTAACGTTGATAAATGTACTCATAAACTCCCTATGGTCTTGACTGAAGTGCAAAAGTGACGGGACGTGACAGAATTATTGAAAAGACTAGAATATCCTTATTTTTTTTCTTCAATTTTCTTATGAATGCCATTTTACTTTCATTTTTGTGGCAGTTGAACTCTCTCTCTCTCTCTCTCTCTCTCTATATATATATATATATATATGAAATCTACCAAGGTACTGCTCTCACTCTCTGTTTCTTCTCCTACATTAATCCTTCCCTTGTGGGGGTTGGACTTGCGAATCAAACTCATTAATAAGTAGGTTGCTAAGCAACTCAACATCCTCAAAGGAATATATTTTACTCTTCCCAAAATACAACCACATTAAGAAAAGAAGAGTTGGTGAACTATAAGATAAAGATGAAGAAAGCTGATAAGGGTTGAGTCTTTGATTGGTTAGGCTTTTAAGATAATTGCATATATAAACATGGTCAGATCCCTAATCCTACATAACAATCATCAATTTCATGTTTCAAAACCTACAGGATACAACAGAGAGAGAGAGAGAAAAAAAAAAACTCCCCCCGGGTGTTACAATGGTGCATCTGTTGTAATCTCTACTCATTGAGATGAGAATGAGAGTGAGAGTGTGCTTGTTAGGTAATGCCTCTGAGTCATCATCTTTGGCCATTTGTTTTCTTGATTTTAGAACATATGAAGAGAGAGAGAGAGAGAGAGAGAGAGAGAGAGAGAGAGAGAGAGAGAAAGAGTTGGTAAATTGAATCTGTATGATTGTTTCTCAAAGAGTTATTCATTAAGCTTCGATGGGATCCGTCGATTTTGTGTAAAAAAAAAGGGCTCGTCTTCTCTGCTCTGCATATTCTTCATATACTCTGAATCTTTGTATTGTTGTTTGTGTTGAATCAAAAACAATTCTTTAACAATTCAACACAAAACCAGTAATCACAATCGTATATTGTGTATAATTGGTATCGATTCGTGTCTCTATTCTATATATATGTAAAGGGGCTAAATGTGAAATGGGTCGGGTCCAAGCCTTGGGCCGGCCCAATCCACTGAAGTCCGAATCCAAGTGGGCTGGATGAGTATATGGGCAAACCAATTGAGCCCAACTTCATGATCAACAGTCCACCTAGGTCCTCAAGCACTTGGGCCCAACCTGCAGTGGAAAGGCTAGTCCAGGCGTGGTGCTGGGCTGGGCCGAGCTGCGAGACTAAACCTATGGGCCGAGCAAAAAATGGGCTGAGCCCATAGAAAGATATTGAATGGATCAGCCCATCTCCATGAATGATCCTGTAAAAGGCCGAGATAAGGCATAATGATGCCGAGCTGAGGAACATCGGTACCGAGCTGAGGAAACCTCGCAAGGAAACATGGAAGTTGTGAATGTGTGCATGTGCAAGTTGCCACCTCAGCTGGTCCCCTACACCTAGAATCACGGAAGTTGTTGAATCAAAGGAATGTGGTTTGTTATCAGCATGACTACAATGAGTATATGCATTCAATGACAACTACCAGGTGGTCCCCCACATTGAGCAATGCTAAAAGGACACATGACAGCATCCAAACTCCATGAACCCACCTTGAGAAGCAAGCAAGGAACACTATATATACAACATGAACTTCACATTGAAGGTAACTGAACTATTCCAAGCAAACTCACACATAGAGATAGATTCAACTCTATATGCACTTCTTCTCCGATCACTAATTCTCACACCGGAGGGGTTATCCGGCCAACCTCGGCCGCGAAGCTCTAACGGTGCTTCTTGTGGCAGGAACCTCAGTCCCTGGATAGTCCAACCGAGTGCGGAGCCCCGATCTACTTTCATCTAGTGCGGAATCCGGTACGCACAATTGGTGCGGTGAACGTGGATCACTTCATCTCTGAGCTTTGCACTCAGTTTCGGCGATGGGGATTGAGGACATTCCGCCTTCGACACATACTCCACAGATGGAAAAAACGAAGGACAAAGGTTTGGCCCTTCCAAAAGTCCCGGAGGAACAAACTGGAAACAATAATCGAACCCTTGAATTCGTCGAGCATCGATTACCCTTCGCTGGAGGTTCTTCTCATCACTTTCTTCTGGAAAAGGATTATAGAGATCGAGTCATAGACTCCATGGAGATGGAGATACAGGAGTTGAAAGCCCAACTTAAGAGGGTGCTGGGCGATCCGACAGAAAAGAAGACGGCAGCGGAGCCCTCTCGTTTGCGACGAAGGAGCTCATCTAGAGAGCCACCAGTGAAGAAGTTCCCCAAGAATGAGTCTGGGCAACAAAGCCAGCCTATCCCGGTACAGAGTGAGGCAGCAAGCAGTCACACCCGTGGGTCACGCCGAAGAAGGGCCAAGAAGCAGAAGACAGTTAGCCAACAGACTAAATACCCTCCTCAGGACCTTCGTACTTGGTTGATTGGCAATAGGCAGAACGAACAACATCGGGATCACCTAGACCGCACTTTTCACCAGAGAGAACACCGAGCGCTGGACAGGCTTGTCTCTTCGCCATTCTCCCCGGAGATTGAGACCATGAGACCTCCAAAGAAATTCACCCCACCAAAGTTCACTTCATACGACGGGAAGTCAGACCCGCTGACACATATAAGCCATTATAGACAGATGATGTCCCTATAGAACCGAGATGAGGCACTGATGTGTAAAGTCTTCCCATCCAGCTTGGGAGAAACCGGACTTCGATGGTTCGATCGTCTCCCCGTTGGATCGATCCATGGCTGGAAACAGCTCTCCGAAGAGTTCCTAGCTAGGTTCGTCTCCAACACTAAGATCCCGAAGGAGCCGGATACACTATTCGGTCTTCGAAAGGAGCAGGAGAAAACGCTGCGCAATTATGCTAGGAGGCACTGGGAAGAGTACAATGACCTGGAGGAAAATGTGTGCAGTGAACAGATGGCCGTTATGTCCTTCAAATATGGTCTGCGCCCGGAAAGTAAGCTAAGACAATCACTTACCAAGCGCCCGGCCACAGCTTTGAAAGATTTGCGTGCCAGGATTGAGCAGTATGCTCGCCTCGAGGACGATCAGATCCCCATCGAGGAAACGTCAGCAGAACAGACAGCTCGGCACAAGAAGAGAACAGATAGAGGAGAACACCGAGGGATTGCAGTGAATGAAGTGGATAAGTCCAAATCCCACGAAACTGTTGTGACTGTATTCAACGAGCCAATCTATCAAATCCTGGAAAAGATCAAGAGAGAGCCCTTCTTTGTTTGGCCGCCGAAAATGTTGGGAGATCCAGCTCGACGCAATCAGAAGCTCAGATGCACCTACCACCAAGACATGGGGTACATGACTCAGAACTACAGGGCACTGAAGCAACACTTGGAAGATCTAGTGGCAGCCGGGCACCTAAGGGATTACATTAATCAGGATAAGGAAGTGGCCGAATTGGGGAACCTGCCACCAGAACCGAATGTTGAGCACCCACCTCGGTTGATAATAAATGTGATCCACGGGATAGCGACTCAAGAATCTGATGAGGCACTGAAAGAAGAGATCGCTAAGGCTGTGCAAATTTAGAGGGTCATGTCAGTGGAGCCTGCATCGAAAAAGGTACGTACAACACCTAAATCCCCCTTGTGCACTGTTTAATTTACTAGCAAAGATTTATAAGGCATACAACACCCACATACTGATGCACTGATTATAACTGTGGGAATTGGGAAACGATATGACGTAAAACGAGTCCTAGTAGATCAAGACTGCAGCAGACATATTGTATTATGATTTGTTCAGAAAGCTTGGTCTCTCCGAGCAGCACCTCACCCCAACGGCAGCCCCGTTGGTTAGTTTCAATTCACAGCCAGAATGGCCGCTTGGCAGAATAGTGTTACCAGTCGTGGCGGGAACAAAAACCCTCCAGATAGAGTTCTTGGTAATTAATACACTATCCCTTACAACGCCATACTAGGCCGCCCATGGATTCATCAAATGGAGGCAGTCCCTTCAACCTACCACCAGCTCATCCGTTTCCCAACGGAACACGGAGTAGAGCAGATCTCAGGGGATCAAGTTGCATCCAAACATTGCTTCATGGCAGCATTAAAGGCAAAGCAGCTTTGCAATTGGGTATAGACGGTAGAAGTGGCCGAACAGCCAGTCTTGGAAGATGTAGGGGGAACCTTAGAGGAAAAGATGGTAGAGGATTTGGAGAAAGTCTTGGTAAAAGAGGATGACCCAGAAAAGTACTTCCTTATCGGTACCTCGCTAGGCGTTGATGAGAAACTTCAGCTGCTGGAACTGCTGAGGGAAAATATGGAGGTATTCGCACGGTCAGCATATGATACTCCAGGGTTAGACCCAGAATTTGTTTGCCACAAGCTCAACATCAACCCTTTAGCTCGGCCCATTGTGCAAAAAAGTTGGAGATCCTTAGTCGAGCACACCAAAGCAGTAATTGCTGAAGTCGAAAAACTCCTGGCTTCAGCAGCAATCAGGGAAGTTCAGTACCCGCAATAGCTGTCCAACACAGTTGTAGTTAAGAAGAAGAACATAAAATGGAGAGTTTGCATTGACTTCACTTGCTTGAACAAAGCCTGCCCTAAAGATAGTTTTCCTTTGCCTCGCATTGATCAACTAGTAGACTCAACAGCAGGGCATGAGCGCATGAGCGTTCTGGACACTTATAGCGGTTACCATCAGATACCACTGTTCGGTCCGGATCAAGAAAAGACAACATTTATCACTCCGAGAGGAACTTACTGCTACAGAGTGATGCTGTTCGGCCTCAAGAACGCCGGGGCGACCTACCAGCGGATGGTCACTCGAATGTTCAAGGACCAACTGGGAAAAACCATGGAAGCTTATATAGATGATATGGTAGTCAAGAGCAAGTTCGCTATAGACCATCTTACAGACTTGAGAGAAGTTTTTGGCATCTTAAAAAACCATCAGCTTCGCCTCAATGCCTCGAAATGCGCTTTCGGGGCAGGAACAGGGAAGTTCTTGGGATATATGGTCACTCACAAAGGAATTGAGGCGAATCTGGACCAAATAAAAGCAATACAAGATCTTGAAGTAGCAACAAAGGCTAAGGAGCTGCAGAAACTGGCCGAAATGGCGGCCGCACTAAATCGGTTCATCAGCAAATCTTCAGATCGGATGAAGCCCTTCTTCCAACTTTTGAAGAAAAGGGCAACATTTGAATGGAGTTCTAAGTGCACCGAAGCACTGTAAAGTCTCAAAAAATACCTCAGTACATCTCCCCTTCTGTCCACTCTAGAGCCAGGAGAGGAGCTGTACCTCTATCTAGCAGTCTCAGATCATGCCGTAAGCCCAGTATTTATTCGAGAGGTTAACAAGGAACAAAGGCCTGTATACTATGTCAGCAAGACTTTACTAGACGTCGAGACACGGTATCTACCATTGGAAAAGTTAGCTTACGCGCTGCTTATTGCCTCGAGGAAGTTACAACATTACTTCCAGGGGCATACCATCAATGTCCTTACTGAATTCGCCCTTAGATCTGTATTTAGCCGAGCCGATTTCTCTGGCAGAACAGCAAAATGGGCAGTAAAACTTGGCGAGTTTGACATTCGGTATCAACCCAGGACAACAATTAAGGCCCAGGTCTTAGCAGATTTCGTCGTAGAATTTGCTCCCACCTAGAGTACCGAACCAGGAAACCCAAGTTCGGCACAGGTGCCACGCATCACCGAACAAGGAAAGCCCTGCGCTTCGGAAGCCTGTAAACTCTTCATCGGAAACATCTGGCAGCTCTATGTTGATGGGTCGTCCAATAACCGAGGTTCGGGGGCAGAAGTAGTACTTATCTCACCAGAAGGATTTATCTAGAAATAGGCTTTCAGGCTCGGTTGGAAGGCTTCGAACAACGAGGAAGAGTACGAAGCGTTGTTGGCTGGCTTACGCAGTTTCGAACACTTCAGTACAGAACAGCTTCTTGTTTTCAACGATTCACAGCTAGTGGTAAACCAGCTTTCTAGGGTCTACGAAACATGGGATGAAAGAATGGCCATGTACGCAGGCAAGGCCAAAGACTTACTCAAAAAGTTTCAATCCATACGAGTAGAACGAATTAGTCGGGATAAAAACAACCATGCTGATGCTTTGGCTTGTCTCGGCTCATCAGTGGATACCAAAGATGCCAGAAAAGTTTCGGTTGAGTTCGTGCCAGAACTAAGCATTGCATCCCTAGTCCTCTGCAGCAGCGTAGAGCCGAGCTGGATGGATCCAATACTTGCTTTTCTAAAATCTGGTACTCTCCCCAAAGACAAAAAAGAAGCCAACAAAGTCAGACACAAGTTAGCTCGGTTTTGGATCTCACCATCCGGGAAGCTGTACAGACGCTCCTATCTTGGCCCTTATCTTCTATGTGTGCATCCAAATCTAGTCGAGAATGTTCTCTACGAAATTCACGATGGGATTTGGGGATGCCACGTTGGCGGAAGGTTGCTGGCGCACCAAGCCCTCACTCACGGGTATTGGTGGCCACGGATGCAACAAGATGCTCAACAGTACGTACAGAAGTGTGATAAATGTCAGAGGTTTGCTCCATTCATTCATCAGCCAGCTAAAACACTCACCCCACTCACCAGCCCATGGCCTTTTGCCCAATGGGGTCTGGATATTGTCGGACCATTGGCGCGAGGCACTGGGAACAGGCGATTCTTCATTGCAACAACCGACTATTTTACTAAATGGGTTGAAGTCGAGGCATTGGAAAATATCAAAGAGGCAGATACAAAGTGGTTTGTTATGAGAAATGTGGTGGTGCATTTCGGCATCCCGCGGGTATTGATTGCGGACAATGGAACACAGTTTGATGGTAAGATCTTCAGAAAGTTTTGTGCCGACCTCAGGATCGAGTATAGGAACTCTTCTCCAGGGTACCCGCAAAGCAATGGATAGGCAGAAGCCTCAAACAAAACCATCATCAACGGAGTAAAGAAACGGCTTGAGCATGCCAAAGGAAAATGGGTTGAAGAGTTACCCCACGTGCTATGGGCATACCGAACCACAACACGACGATCAACGGGGGAAACACCTTGCTTACTAACTTATGGAATGGAGGCCGTCATCCCACTCGAAGTCGGCCTCCTAACCCTTCGGTCTGAATTGTTTGAGAGCACCAGTAACGAGGAAGCTATTGCACAAGCACTAGATATGGTAGAGGGCCGAAGAGAAGCAGCACTGATCAGACTTGTAGCATATCAACAGCAGCTCATCAAGAGTTTCAACCAAAAAATTTTCCCAAGGCAATTTACACCAGGAGAACTGGTCTTGAGGAAAGTTATGGATCACAAAAAGGTGCCTGGCGAGGGCAAACTTGGGCCTAACTGGGAAGGTCCCTACAAAGTCACAGTTGTCGTTGGAAATGGAGCATACTACCTAGAGGATCTTAATGGCAGAACTATACCTTGGCCCTGGAACGTAGCAAATCTCAAGAAATACTATCAATAGAATTGTCCCCCACATTCTCTATCAGAATGTAAAGGCATTTATCTGTTGACCAATGCAAATGCTTCCCCACTTCTCTCAAATTTATCAAATTCTTGTAATTAGCTTTGATGTTTATCAAACGGAATTAGCTTTGATTCTTACCAAACGGAATTAGCTTTGATGTTTATCAAACGGAATTAGCTTTGGTTCTTACCAAATGGAATTAGCTTTGATGTTTATCAAACGGAATTAGCTTTGGTTCTTACCAAACGGAATTAGCTTTGATGTTTATCAAACGAAATTAGCTTTGGTCCTCACCAAATAGAATTAGCTTTGATGTTTATCAAATGGAATTAACTTTGGTCTTAAACCAAATGGACTTAGTTTCAAAACGACTGGACGAAATTTAAATTTGGTTAGCACTTAAACATGCTAAGTGGAATTGCTTGGTGGAATAATTTTTGGTAACTAAATTGGACTTTAGCCAAGTGGAATTGCTTGGTGGAAATCACACTAACATATCTTAAGTAAACGTCTTTGAATCCACAGAATTCCTCATGTACCAACACGTCAACACTTCAGTACTGATTCAAACAAACAGAGTTGGAACAAGCATGCCCAGGTTCTATCAGGAGTAAACTCCCAGCATTAGTCTTACTCAACTCCAGGTGGGGGCAAACAATTGTTTTTCAAAATCAACCTAGACCTGAGTAAGACACCTCTTTATGCCTTTATCGCATTCAAATGCACCTATGCTATCTAAGTTGAAACAGACTCAAGCAGTTCTACACAAGGGCACAATCTTCAGTACCGATCTTACTTAGCTCTAGGTAGGGGCAAATAATTGTTTTCTTTCAAAACCAACCTAGACCTAAGTAAGAATCACTTACGAACTCAAGCACCGCCATACCACATATCCGTCAGCCACACCGAGCATCAGTTCGGCCCCGAGGTCCCAACAGTGCTCGGCCGGGGGCAAACAGTACAATGCCACACTGCGCATCAGTTCGGCCCCGAGGCCCCAACAATGCTTGGCTGGGGGCAAGCAGTACAGAATCAGACAGAACATCCATTGAAAAGCAGTACAGAACCAGACCGAGTATCTATTCAGCCCTGAGGTC